TTTCATGATCTCAAGTGTTGCACACAGTAATGTGACAGTTGTGCCTGCACACAAAGAACCAGCCCTGCAAGGTTGCTCACTGTAAAAGCCTGCTGGGAGCCACAGGAGCTATGTTCCTTTTATCATTCAAACAGCATTAAAGGAGCTAAAACTAATATCCTGGTAACTCTGCTGCAGCAGATTAAGTGTCCATCCTGAACTTTAAAAACTGCATCCCAGACAGATTGCAATTAATATTAACTACACTCAGGACAAGTCCAGCTCAACACTAACATTTGGTGCAGATCATAATAAAATACTACACACTCCAACATTTCCTGTTTGATAGCTGAGAAGTATGTAGAACTGTTCTTCATTAAATTTAAATGGACTCATTAATAAAATATGGAAAATGTGCTACTTTAAGACATCAGGAAAAAAAAAGTATAAATTGGCGATAACGTTATTTCTATTTTTAAATCCATCCCACAGAGTCACCCAAGATAGATGAGAAGTGCTAAGCCCATCCCACAAGCTTATTTATTTATTTAATACTTCTTACATGCTATTTTTAACCTCTGAAGACAGCAAAAGGCATCCATTAGAAAAATTACACTGGTTAGAGCCTTCCTTACACAGATTAGACAAGTGAGATATCTGACTGAACACAGTCTCAGAAGAGATGTGGTTTCCCCCTCCCTTTCCTATAGGATGCTGGAATAAAAAAGCAATTTTATTTTTGCAGCATCAGCTAAGCCCAAATCTCTATCTGCAAAATCTGTATCTGTCAGTCCTTACTCACTCCTCAGCCCCCTCCTCTCACTCCTCCACTTCCCTCAAGGTTTAATTTTGTAAGTAATACATGGCTTGAACGCACACACACAACAATGTTACCCTGCAGGGACAGTAAAATGTAGATGTAGGGTTTAGTTTGGGTTTTTTAAGCCTCTGTTGTACACACAGAAAATAAATGAGAAGAAACGCCACAGTCTCATGGTATTGCATCATTTTGCAGACAAGCTCATCCTTTGGGAGAAGAACAAATTAGTTAAAAATCTTTCATTTTTTTTTTCAATAGAGTTAAAGGAATTTACTTTAGTTGATGCTGGTTTTCCTTAGGAATCAAGATTCTTTGGAGAGCTTAGAAATCAAAGGAAAGATGTCCTTTGATTCCAATCTCCAATACAAGTTTTCACATACAAAAATGCCAGAGCAAAATTACCAGATTATTTATTTAGGGATAAAAAAATCTTGACTTGATTTCTATACATCATCTTCCTAAAATGGTTGCTTTCTTTGAGGAAATACAGTGTTTTCCTTCACAACTGGAGCATCACATTTTCCCTTTGCCTTGTATTTGAAGGAACAAAGTTGAACTCCAAGGAGACACTCTGGCATTCCTGAGCAGTTTCTACCATGGTTTCTAGTGGACCAGAAGACAAAATTGCACATTGCCATTTAAGTGTTATTTCAGGAGGCATTTTGATTTTCACAGAATCATTTAGGCTGGAAAAAACCTCCAAGATCATCAAGTCCAACCTGTGACCAATTCCCACCTCGTCAACCAGCCCAGAGCACTGAGTGCCATGTCCAGTCATTCCTCGAACACGTCCAGGGATGGGGACTCCACCACTGCTCTGGGCAGCCCCTTCCAATGCCTTACAACCCTTTCCATGAAGAAATTCTTCCTCATGTCCAACCTGAACCTCCCCTGGCACAGCTTGAGGCTGTAACTTTCATCCTAACTTTGGTACAGAAGATAGACCCTGACTTGGATGTGTATTTCCTGCCTGGTCAGGTAAAGAGTTACAGAAAACAAAAAGGGTATAAAAGATGAATTTCAAAAGTGACAGTGGTCCCCTGCCATGCTCTGGGTCCCCACACAGCCCAGGGCAGGGTGGAAGGACAGACCACCCCATGCTGGGCACTGCTCAGCAGTTCCATGGATAAATCCATGGGGGTAGGTCAGATAGGCACAGACAGGATCCTGATGCAGACACTGAAGCTGGATTTCTTCACAGCTATTTTCCCTTCTTTGCAAACTTTGCACAAAATGAGCTTTTTGTAAACAAAACCACAGAGGTTGTTGGTGTCACTCAGAACAAGGACAGTTTACTTGTTCTACCTGTCTCAAGAAAAGCTCAGTTTGCTGAGAAAAGACATTACTGAGCCCATAAATGGAAGGCTTTTATCCATAATCTATTCAGACATGGCACTAACAATGCTTGATGGCTAAGAAATACTTGAATTTCTAAAAGAAGTAGCTTTCTCTGTAGTGGAAAGGTCACATTGCATGGAGAACTATGCGAAGAGTTGATGCTCAAGACAAGTGTCACAAGCAGACAGTTGAATAAACAGCACTTAATGCAACTTTGTGGGTACAAAAATCACTAGTAAACTCAAGATCCTGGATAAAAATTCAAATATTCTCTGTGTTTGGAATTCAGCCTCAAGCCAGGCCTGGATTGGGCAACAGAGTCTCTGACACAACTTTGATTCCTGACTTATTCCTAAAATGCTCTGAATATTCTGCACACAGCCCTTAGAAAGCAGATTACAGTCTGCCAGCAGTAGGCAGGACCCCAAGCAAACTGCTGAAAAGCCAAATTTAAGAGTTCATATACTTCCTCCCCATTAAGTATTACATACAATAACATTAAAAGGGTAATTTCCAGGGAAGAGCATCCATCATACATTCTCAAGCTTCTCAAAGAGAAGAAATGCCCATCCATGGAAGCGTTCAAGGCTCGGCTGGATGGAGCTTTGAGCAACCTGGTCCAGTGCAAGATGTCCCTGTCCATGGCAGGAGTGTAGGACTAGATGATCTTCAAGGTCCCTCCCAACTCAAACCAAACAAAACAATGCAGCGACTCCCTTAGGTCTGCAAATCTGCATTGTCTGAGATATTAATTATTTCCATCTATCTGAATAGTGACTTATTATCAGTAACTTCAGTTATCCCTTTTATCAGCCCCCTCTCATCTATACAATTCCCTCCAGCTCACAAGCTGCCTGAACATCCAGCTGCTCCTGGGACATTTCCAGCAATGTAGGTGTTTCAAAAGGACAAAAATCCAGCAGCGTTATCAAATTAGGAGGAGAATATTCTGATATTTTCTAGACACAGAATAAATATAATATGCTATTAAAATACATTATTTATACAGAAAATGAAGAAGCCTCATAGGCAATTTAGGATTTCCAGATTCTGATCCGTTTTATGAACTTGTGCAAGGAAAGAAACCCTTATGGAAAACACAGGAACAAAGTTGTCGTCTTCTAGTACCAGTTCTACACGAGACAACTTGACTCCTTTCACCCTCTTTTGAAAACCACATTGGCCTATTGCAGACAAATTATTTTTCTCTCTTCAATAGCTTGAGCCTGGGACATGTACAGACCTCCTCCGTCAGGCCTGTCAGGGAGGAGACCTGAGATCTCCTCGGCATCGGTAAGTTCTGGAAATAATTGACAAATTCCTTTTTAAAACCGACTTCTACAGAAACCATTTCCATATGTGTAACTCCCCCTGACAAAAACTCCTTCAGTATCAGTTAAACACAAAACACAAACCTCCTTGAAAACAAGCAATGATCTGCAGGACCACAGTAGACCGCCCAGGAATTATGGAAAATGCAGGTTATGTTGCAGCACTGGAAGTTTCCACCTCTCAGTGACGTTTCAGAGATCCTGACTGTTCAACAGGACTAGGGAGAACAACACATTGCTACCAGTAATGTGCCACAACTACCAGTAATGTTTCACACTTTAATATGGGAAAAGACAGAGGGATCCCCAAAAACAACCCTTCCAAACTAAATACATCATCAACTGTGACTTTTAAGGAAACTGAGGTCCTAAACACCATCAATAAAAGAAAATAAAAAGTAGTAGTAGTCAGTCTCATATAGACTAGTTACCTCAGAAAGCAAACCCCTGGATCTTCCAAATCATCCCTTTTTCCAGGAGACCCCAGTCAGCACATAAATAATGTCTTTTATACATGTCAGGAACAAGTTCATTATTTGGTGCAAGGCTCTTCATGTCCCTCCTGGAAAAGGGGACATGAAGCAGAACCTAACCAGGACTTATGCTGCTCCTATTTAGTGTGTTCTGTTATGGGGTGGTGGATGATTAATTTTTTTGTGTGGATTGCTTCTGGTGGGGGTTTATGTTTTGGGGTTTTTTTGTTTCATTTTTGGGGTTTTTTTTTGGTTGGTTGGTTGGTGGTTTCTTGGGGGTGATTCCTTCTGTGGGGTCCTGGTGTATGTGTGGATTTTTTGTTTGTTTTTAATTTCATCCTGATTGTTTTACGTTACCAAAGCTAAAAATCCATTCAATTATTATTATTTTTTAAATAGAAAACTTGAACTGTATTTCTGTTAGGAATAAAGGGAATTATGATTCGTTTCAGGTAGCTGGAATGAGGCAGAATATAGCTTGAAAAAAACCCCCACTAGAATTCCTAACAACAGAGGAAAGGGGGAAAGCACCCAAAACAAGTGCTTACAGTTTATCTCACACAAGGTCTAACAGCAGATTGCCAAGTTTTTGGGAAAACTTTTCATACTCTTCAGAATAGAAACTTTAAAAACCTCCAGTAGTTCAAATACCAAAGAAACCCATAAAATCAGGAGTGGAAAAAAAAAAACCCAACTATTTCCTTACGAAGGGAAGCTGAAAAAAAAGGTAAGAAAATTGTGCCTTCGAGCATCCAGGTGTTTCAAAAGATTAGAGAAAGTCCCAAGTGCTGCCTGTAAAGATCAGACACAAACTGCATTATCGCATGCACCAGATCATACACTCAAATCTAAATAAATACAGAAAGGCAGATTTTCTTGGTCCTTTTACACACTAATATGATTTTGCCTTGAAACTCCAAATAGGAAGACATACATACTAAAATATTGGTATTTTAAGCTATTGCGTCCACGTCTCAACTGATTGTCAGGTTAAAAATATATTTGTCTTAACCTACTGTTACCGTTCTCAGAGGCCACATCCACGTCAGCCAAACCTACCATGTGGTAGTGTTATGTTTGCACCATCAATGATTGCTTGTGCCAGTTCGTGATCATTGCTCTCGAAGGCGTGTGCAGCAGCCTTGAGGGCATCCCAAATCTCCTTGCGGCCTTCGAAAGCTGGTGCTGTGTCCCAAAACTCATCCCTCTTACTGCGCAACTGTCCGTCTGTCATGGGGTAATCGCTTTTCCATTTCGGCTTCTCTTTCTTCAAGGGCTGATTACGACCGAGAGCAACTGCGGGGGAGAAAGAGGAAGGGAAATTAATAAAAATAACAGCACAAAATTACTGAAGTGCCCTTTGGTTGTTCTGTTTAGGATCTACAGAGCTAAAGTTTACTTCCTGGCAATCCGAACTCTTTTTGTCCACCTCCACCGGGGCATCACCTCCCTTTCCCTAAACTCAAAGTTGGTTTGACCTCTTGGAAGAATGGAGGAGCTACACCCTGCTTGCTGATTTCATCTGGAAATCCAGGAATCCATCAAGCTTTAAAAAGTGGTTACCTCATTCACAATAAACACAAAAGCATTTGATGTTTCATTTTACCTACAGCTATTTTTATGTAATAGCCAGTTAAGAAAATCACATAGGTATAAAGTTGGTAGATTAAGACCCTCTGCTCACTTTAAATTCCAGCACTGCCAAGTCTGTTCCAAACCATTCTCTTTCATTTGTGTGAGTGAGTAAAGGATTATTTCAACTTCTGTTGAAAGGAAAAGGAAATAGAAAAGAGCAAACTTCAGTGCACACTGGGAATAATTTCTCCCTGCAAGAGTTAAAACTCCATTTCCTTTTCCATTTCCTTCCTCCATTTCCAAGCCCCCTTTTGAGGACAGTATGGGGAGGAGAGCAGCGACAAACCACAAACACAGTTCTCACCACGGCTCAATACCACAAAGCCTTGAATACGCAGTTTAAACGTCTCCAGAGGAAATGAATTGTCCTTCAACAGTTAAAACTAAATTTGGGGGTGTTTGCAGCTGAAAACAAGCAGCCCCCTCCATGGCACAGGGCACAGAAACTGGGTGATGGTTACTAAATGCTCCTGAAACACAGGAAAGCTGCATGGGGCTGAAGTCAATTAGGTATCCCTGCAAGAGGATACTGGAGAATCAACGTGATGCTCTCCATGAAGAACCACTGCTGTCCCGAGAGAGCAGAGGAACCCCAGCTGCCACCAGGCGAGGGAAGGATGAAGAGATTCTGCCTGTCATCCCACATCCACATTACCAAGGCCAAATTATCTCTTACAGGAACAAGGCACCACAGCTGCCATGATATCAAAGCCTGCAGAGCAAAGCTGCTGCTGATCAGGTGCTCCTGGATAGTCTGCATGGATGGGAGAGCACCAGGACAAACAAGGGTTTAAATTTAGTATTCTGTATCCCATGCACATCCTTAGAGATAATAAGAAATATTTCCTGTCTCCAGATCCTCTTATTTTTCTGGGAGAAAGCTGACAATAGCTGACAAAAACCCTTATATCTGTCCTCAATCTTACTCTATCTGGTTTTCAATGGAAGAATAGTGTAATGTCCAAATATTTTTCATAGTCCTTAATCGAGATGCAGGCTCTATCTCTACAGTTAACTACAAACCATATTTATGGCCAAGAGTGTGTGGGGGGGTGAGGGACATAAATGTCAATATATCAGAAATACTGAGTTAGGTTAGGCTGTAACATTTTGCAAACATAGTATTTAATTCAAACATTGCCTCTCCTTCCTTGATTTTTTTTTTGGCACAGAGGCACTCAGCTGTTCTCAGATCAGCCCTTAACACCAAGCACCGGGTCTCAGAGTTGACCATCAGTGCCTGGTGTTGCAGCAAGACATTCCAACTTCACACAAGCTTTAAGGAGACTAAAACCTACACACACGAGGTTCAGCCACACACCTTTATACAATCTGACTCTATATGACCATAGAATTATCTACTTCATAACTCAAAATGACAGACACGCTTATGAACCTGAGGTGTAAGTCACTGAAAATAGGATTTTAAAAAGAATTCCTGATGGTAAGGTGACATTGCCAACTATGCAAAGGCATGAGCCTTCTCTGGATTAGAAAAAATCATAGTAGAATCATAGAATGGCCTGGGTTGGAAGGGACTTTCCTTAAAGATCATCTCATTCCACCTCCTACCATGGGCAGGGACACCTTCCACTAGACCAGGTTGCTCCAAGCCCCATCCAACCTGGCCTTGAACAACTTCCAGGGATGGGGCAGCCACAACTTCTCTGGGCAACCTGTGCCAGGGCCTCACCACCCTCACAGGGAATATTATTTGTCCAATATTCAATCTAAACCTACTCTCAGTCTGAAGCCATCCCTCCTTGTCCTGTCACTCCAGGCCCTTGTCCAAAGTCTCTCTCCATCTTTCTTGCAGGCTCCCTTCAGGTACTGGAAGACCATAATTAGGTCACCCCAGAGCCTTCTCTTCTCCTGGTTGATCAATAGCAACTCTCAGCTTCTCCTCATAGGAGAGGTGCTCCATCCCTCAAAACAACTTGGTGGTCTCCTCTGGAGGAGATATTTGCATGGAAACAAAGTCAGATGACAATTAAAAGTAACAAATGACAATCACATGGCACACATATACTGACTCCAGCTGTTATTCTGTATCCCATGCCGAAACTAACAATAATAAACTTCTGAATCCTTTCAAGTGACCACAAACATTTATTGCTCTTTGTTTCCATGGGATTGCTTCCATGAGATTGCTTCCATCCATTTGCTTTTCAAAGAAGTGCTGACCATTTAACAGATTTCAGAACAGCAAACCCAAGTGTTTACAAAACACCAAGTTTCCTGGCAAAGCCTGGCTGTTCCCAGTCCAAGTCTCAGCTGAGCACACACAAGCTGGGAGATGATGATGGGGCAGCCTAAAACAATGGTGAAGGAGGCAGCCCTGCATGCATTAAACAGTATATTATGAAATTGCAAAAACATATGTGGGAAAACACTTGAACAAGAAATTGTTTCCTTATTAAGGCGTAGCAGTCAGAGCATGAACATTTCAGACGGACAGAACAGGACACTGTTAGAAATTTGGGTCAGTGGGCATCTTTTTTTCCATTCAACTTCAGCTAACATCTGTTTGCACGTACATTCAATGAATGCTAATTTATCCCACAGGGCCCTTTCCTTCTCCCTGAACATTAATTATGGAAGCAGGTTAAAGGCACTTCGCGCAGTCACGGCGGCGTTGCCTGTACCCAGCCCTGCCTGCCTGTTATCCAGCACCATGGAGGAAAATCCAACAGGCTATTTCTTTCCTTCCCTGCTTCCCCCTTTGCCCAAGACAGCATCTGCATTTATTGCTCTTCACTAGACAAGAATAGCAGGGGAGAGACTAAAGAGACAGAAATCTTAACAATCTCAAATAACTTCTCCCTCGAGACACGATCCTTCCTACATAGACAGCAGTGATGATAAACCCAGGGATAAATTCTATTTTTTCAAGTTGGAAAGACAGGTGATGGAAGAAAATGACTCTACAAATGCCTCAAAAGCCAAATTCACTCTAACAAGCCATCCATCCCAGTACTAAGCCTTTAAACACAACTTGGCTTCATCACAAGCCAGTATTTAAGAAGGTCTTTAGCGTGTTTATAATTTATTAGAAGTGCTTCAAGAATCCCCAAAAAATCTTTATGCTTCTCCTGGAGAAATATTAATCTCTATTCAAACGTGTGGATAGATGGATCAGAAGGGATACAAGAAACTCAAGACATATAAAAAGCCCTAATGTGTAAAAAGGCCCAAATATTTCACTTTCCACCCCATGCCTTGGTCACTACAGCAGAACATCACTACATGAATTTCTACAAAGTTTTGGACCACATCAAAGGACTTTCCCTCTTTCTGTAATAAGGCTGATAAAGAAACAAACATCAACAGTCTGAAACACTTCCTCAAGTATTTACAGTGTCAGTTTTCTATCCCTCACTTTGGAAGCAAACTAAAGCTCAAAAGAAAACATAGGTTTCATTTAAGACCATACACATCAGAGGCACAAACAGCTTGCAAGATCTGGAAGAGAAAGTAACATCCACATTAATTTTTCATCTTACACCACTTCAACATAAGTAAGAAATTATTAATATGCTGCTTGAAAACAGGAATTGTTTTATAAATGCCAAGAAGGCACGTTCCCTCAGAGGCAATACTGAAATTTGTCGTCTCAATGGATGGCAGTGGTTGATATTTTTGGCAAGAGATTTATTTAGAAGCGAATATGAAAACCATTAAGAGTCTACTTTTTAAAAAGATCAGCACATTAGTGACAGTCCAAAATAAGTCAGGTTGTTCTTGCTTCAATAGCTCACCAGTGGTGTAGTGCATTCCAAAGAGGGGTAAGAAGTTCACAGAACCCAACACCTCCAAGATCATCGAGTCTAACCTTTGACTGAACCCCACCTTGTTAATTAGACATTGGGACTGCCCAGAGAGGTGGTGAAATCACCATCCCTGGAGGTGTTTAAGAAACAACTGGGCATGGCACTCAGTGCTTTGGTCTGACCATCATCTCCATGGGCAGTTCCAATGTCTAATTAACAAGGTGGGGATCAGTCAAAGATTGGACTCGATCTTGTAGGTCTTTTCCAACCTAAATGATTCTGTGAACCTGTTTAATACCTCAAAGTGACCTAAGAACAGCAGCAGACAAGCCACAGGTTGTTTCTGTCCTATCTATAGGATTTAGCAGCATATAACGTTTTTACTACATGGGTAGAGTATCACCCCAGGATCCTCGACATAGCTACTACTGTTTGCCCCACTAAGTTCCTAGTAAACTACAAAGTCTTTTTTTTTTCAGAAGGAAGGACATATTTCTTCAGTCCTTGCAGACTGTTTTATAACCTGATTTGTGAAGATTTATTTCCCTTTTCTACAGCTTCCCATCAAAGCAACAGAATCAGTAAGGTTACCTATGCTTCTTTTGAGTGAGCTTATGCAAATAAATCTGGATATTTAAATCAGTTTCTTAACAGAATGTCAAAAAATGTCTATGTAGAACTACTTCTTTAACAGCTGGTGTGTTTGTTATGTCGCTCTCACTGTGGATCACAGTACTGTCACCTCCTCCAGAGCGGGCCAGATGAGCAGGAGCAGCTGGTAACACAAGAGTCTCATACTAAAAGCCAATATCCAGCTAAAGCTTTCATAATTCCCAGCTTATATACCCATGAACTATAGCACTCGATAATCAAATTGGATAACATTTCTGC